ATGGCCTCCAACCTACTAGCGACGGCCTCCAGCCTAGTAGCGATGGCCAACCTACTAGTGATGGCCTCCAACCTACTGCGTAGTAGCGATGGCTTCCACCCGGCCTCCAACCTACTGCGTAGTAGCGATGGCTTCCACCCTACTAGCGATGGCCTCCACCCTACTAGCGATGGCCTCCAACCAAGTAGCGATGGCCTTCAACTTCCTAGCGATGGCCTCCACCCCACTAGCGATGGCCTTCAAAATGAATGGGCCAGTCACTTGCTTTGTTTTTATTCCGCACAGTCCTTTCACCAGCAGGCGCTGACTCGTCACCGGCCTGATTTGTTGCTCACTCAGCGCAAAGAAATCCAATTGCATGCGAGGCCTTAGGTTCAATTGCCTGTCAGGTCAAGCCTTGTTTTTGTTCACAAGTTTTCTTTCCAGCCAGCAGCCAATGCTGATGTTCTGCAGTCTTGTTTCCTTCTTTGTTGACCAAGGCTCTTTGCAAGCGACAAGGTCCAGAAGCCAGAGGCCCACGGTCAGCAGCTAAATTAGATATTTGAGAGTCGTCCAAAAATCCGCGCAAGATTCGCCCAAGGCCGGCGCAAGGATAGTTTTCGGGAAACGGTATTTTGGACAACGCTCATATGACCTCGGAGTGCCATGTCTTCAGAGACTCAACCCTTCACAGCCTTCACCCTCGACGAAGGCAACAGCAGCTCCGGCGCAGAATTTTTCCTTCTGGGACCATTTGAGGCCAAGAACTTTGAAGATTTGAGCTGACACCATAGGATTCTTGCCTTTGAACCCCTTTGAAGCCCGCGACATCATAGGATCGCAGAAAACGGAGGCTTAAGCTTTCAAGTCTTTCAAGTCCATGTCACATCATTTGACTGTAGACTCACTGATGGATTTTGAGAGCACTTAGCTGACCCAGATCCACCGGGAAGTCTCTGTGCTTCGAAACTCCTGAGGACTGGGGCAGTCCAGAGATGGCCTCCAACCCTAAGAGCGATGGCCTCCATGGCCTCCAACCTAGCATGTCAATGGCGTTCGATTGACACGTGCGGGAAGCTCGACTGTTGATAGTGAAGGAGCCGCTGAGCAAAAAACAACGTATGCCGGGCATCCCAGGCTTCTTTCAATGCAAGGTCCCAAGATGCTTCAGATAATTTCAGGTAGAGCATTCAGTCCCTGGACCGCCAGCTCGAGCATCTCAATGTATCTCCCGTTGCTCCTACTAGCGATGCCGTTTGCTACTACATTTAGAAAAGATCATTTGTTGTGATGCGCTAGTCTTCCAAAGCTTTGTGGATCTATTTGTGCTTGAGCCTTCTGTGCCCAGGTCTGAAACAGGTTGATCGCAGGTGCAAAAGAGGTGTGCGAATAAGGAATATCCGGCCGATCCCAAGTTCTCCAAGATTCAGGACATGTAGATACCAGAATCTTGGGTCTGAAAGAGGGTCCGAAGGTAGATGTGACTAGCGCCTTGAGACTTCCGTTGAGGAAGCCGCCTGGAGCAACGTCTATTTCCATATTCTTTTCGCCTTTGGTCTACTCATGGAGCTATGTCAACCGTTCCAAGCAGGTGTTTCATGCGGTTGGTTCGGAATTCTCCACTCTTTGCCCCGGCGCAGCTTCATCCACGTGGTCGGAATGGGCGACATGGGCTGGCTGGAGGCAGATCTGACAGAGAATCCAAACGAAACTTTCACAACTTTGGATACCTGAGGATACGAGGACAATGTCTAATATACATATACATTATCAAAGGCTCATCCAAGATTTGAAGTCAGAAGGTATACAGTATCCATGTCATAAGAAAGCATGTGCTACTGCATGCTTCTGTCTTCATCTGTCTCCTGATTCGTCCAGTCTTGCATAAAATCATGCACCCAGGTTCTTCCACTGTAAGTCTTGCAGATTCTTCTTTCTCGAACGAAGGGACGAAACATTAATCGTTTTTCTTGCCATTAGCTGGGAGGCCATTCCTATTAGGAGCAAAGGGCATCGCTACTAGGAGCAAGGACGCTACTAGTAACAAGTGCATCGCTTCTAGTAACAAGTGCCTTACTAGTAGTAACAAGGCTCCTGGCATCGCTACGAGGAGCAAGGACGCTACTAGGTTGGAGACCACCGCGCCAACGACTCAGGCAGGAAGAAGGACCACCTCAGCGGATTCTTCGACTCACAGGACCTGTGAAGACCTCAGCTTTACAGAGGACTCCAGCGGTGTGAAGACCTCTGTGGTCTTAGGTGAAGCTCTACAAAGAGGTGCAAGATGGCACAAGTATGCACAAGTATGATGTGTGTACCTTTCTTTCTGATTGGTCCTTTCCTCCTTTCTTTTAAACAGACCTTTAGACATGTTTAGGTTCAGACATGCTTGCTTTCTGATGGCTTTTTGGATCTTTTTTGGACCAAGCTGTTCGGACCATGGCGTGTGCAAAGTCGTTGCTGAGCAGCCTGTGGATATGCGCATTGTGCCTGCGGATGCTATGTGAAGCGACACAGGAGGGCTGTCCTGAATCTCAAGGTTCGCTATGGCTGCAGAAAGGTGTCGTCCGGTCATCGGTTGTAGCCAAAGATACAGTCAGCAACAAGGATGATGACGATGAAGACGAGGATGACGATGAGGAGGATTTGCCCTTGTTCGACAACTCACCGGGCCAATCTGGAAACGGTAAACCCTTGAAGTCGTGTCAGGGCAGTTGCTCCGCAGACGAGGACTGTGAGGGAGAGCTGGTGTGCATCCAACCGAAGTTCGTGGGCTGGGATGGGATTGTTCCCGGCTGCCGCTCCGATGGCTTTCACAAGCCACTTTGGGCCTTCAAGTATTGCGGGCCAACGCCACCGGAAGGATGGCGCACTACCACCACAACGACTACCACACCAGAGCCAACACCACCACCGCCTGCAGCTCCATCTGTAATCACCAATTGCCCAGGGGTTTGTGCCAGACTCATGGCCTTTAATGTGTATTATGCTCAGCTGGGCAAGGAAAGCCGTATGGAGGGAATTGCATCCTCCATTGCAGAGATGACTCCTGACATCGCAGTGATTACCGAACAATGGAGTGAGCAGCAACAGATTCTTGAGAAGATTCGACAGAAGACTTACCGCCACTACGAGTTTTGCAGAGGTGGTTCCCAAGAAAAGTGGTGGGATGGGGACATCCTCTATCGAGCAGACTTGTTTGAGAGGGAGGAGGATTCTGTTCTGGATTGGGGATCCAACAGAGGATTGAGTTGGGCTGTGCTCCGGCACAAAGCTTCGGGAAGGCGCTTGCTGATCTATGGCGCTCATCCAGTTTGCTGTGGCAATGAGAACATCCATTTGCAGAACGCTGTAGATTTTTCGACGCATGCCGCGGAGAAGATCAATGACTATCCAAATGCTCCAATCGTCATCATGGGTGACTTCAATGCTTTGGAAGATTGGAAATCCACCAAACTCTACCTGGGTGAGGAGGTCCATGAGAATGGTAAGAACTACAAGTCACTTTGCAAACAAATGAACAAATTGCTGCATACTGCTTGTTCGATCTATAATGATCTATATATATATATCTATTGCCATCTGTGACATCTATAGACAATCTACCTGGAATTTGCCCCTCAAAGTACTTCAGTGCTCTCCTTACGCTTTGGAAATGTCAACTTACCAACAAAGCCACAAGCACCTTTGCATTCATGGTACTTGGTACATCTTGGTAACTTTACCGTAAGGCCGCCTTGAAGGAACTTGATGGAGATGAACCAAAGCTATCAATTTGTTGAACGAGTTGCCACTGCCAAGGCTAAAGTTTAAATTTCGAGATGCCTTCAGAGACACAAACTCACCCTATGTGGATGCTACGACGCACAACAGCGGTGCTCGATTGGACTACATCTTCTTGGAAAGGAGCGCTCTCTGGTTACTAAGCAAGAAGAGCTCAAGATAGCTCAACCAACCTACTAGCGATGGCCTCCAACCTAATAGGAATGGTCTCCAACCTAATAGCCACGGCCTCCAACCATTTGTGCTTGGCGGGCCAGCACCTCAAAGACTTTTCCATGATTGTACACACCAGTCCCGCAGTCACACCATGCATCCTCAAGCATCAAGCCCTGCAGGGGAGAGGAACGGCAGCAGCCGATCACCCAAGGCGTGGCAGTTTCGATTTGTGGGGGTGCAAAGCATGGTAAGACAGGCATGGGACCAACCAAGCAGAAGAAATCCAATCAACCAGTCGGTCATTCCTTCTCCAGTCCTTTCACCCGTCGTTCCTTTTTTTGGACAGCAAAATGAACGCGGTTGATGCGCTTCACCCGTGCAGGCTTCCGCACGATGCAGTCATGGATTTGGAGAAATGCAGGAGGAGAGAGCGACGGGAGCACGACGGGAGCTCGAAAGAACTGCAGAATTCATATCACAATCACGGAAATTGCCCATAGTAAATACAGACCGTTGTTACCCATAAATACAGGCCAGCTTCCAAAAGACAGATTTTGACAGCGAAATGGTCTCGCCGTTTTGGAGGCGGCTCCGATCACTACCCGATCCTGGCTGACGTGGAACTTCTGGGCTGAGAAGCTATGTAGGTTGAATTCAGTGTGCAGTTGCAGGTGTTGCATGTACACCAAAAGCATGTACACCATGTGCAAAGAAGATCTCCACCAGCAAAAGCCGGCAAACACAGCTTTTGCTGGAGCCGCCAAAACGGTGGCATAGCAAAAAATGCACGTCGTCACGTAGGTTTAGCGCAAAAGTGGAGGTCATGGATGGTCACCGTGTGACGACAATGCATTATTGAGAAAGGCAAAGATCGATTGTATTTGATGTTAGCCTGGTAGCATCTCTTGAAGGCAGCTTCAGAAGAGGTTCTTCAAGATCTCACGAGTGGAGAATTGCATGCCTGGCTTGGTTTGTACCATTGTCGTTGGACTGTTCCAGCGGCAAATGCAGCATGTTTGGCAGGTTGATTGGTGTGGGTGAAGAGGCTTTGCAGGCCCAGTCTGAACACGATTTGTATGTAGTGGTGTGGTGAGCGGGCACTGAAGTTTTGCTGCGGACTTTGATGCACTATGATTTGCGATGCATTTCAATTTGCAGCTAGGTTCAAGAATGAGGGCATACTTGTGCCGCAAGTCAGAAAGACTGCGGACTTTCTTCGGCCGTGGGAAAGCTGCTTTGCTTTCGACGAGCATTGCAATCGTCTTGCGGAGTAGCGCCTTTAGTTCAGTCTCCATGGCCTCCGACAGCAGACCAGCGGTGTTTGTGGTTGGGAACGAGGCGGCTGACGTGGATTCCTTGGTTGCAGCATATACTATGGCTCAGCTGCTTGAGAGCTCCGAGGTACTGCTGTCCAAATGGAAGAAACAAGAAGACACAGTTTTTGTTCTTTTCTTACTCCTTCCATCTGACTTCCTTTCTTTGTTCGCCTCCAACCTACTAGCGATGGTTTCCAACCTACTCGTGATGGTCTCCAACCTCTAAGAGCGATGGCTTCCAACCTACTCGCGATGGTCTCCAACCTCTAAGAGCGATGGCCTTCAACCTAGTAGCGATGGCCTCTTCTAGTTTTTTTGTTCTTTCTTTGTTTCCTTCCTCAGCTGAAGAGCCCCCCTGCCATGCCTTGAGGTCCAGGCCATTGCATTGGCTCAAATCCCAAGAGAGGAGTTTCGACTCCGGGGCGATGCCGTTGCCCTCTTTCGAGAAGCTGGGAGCCGGACCTTGGAGGATGGAAGTCCTGTTTCAATGCGATTCTGGAATGAAGTTGATTGGGGTGAGGTGAAGAAGTTAGAAAGCCGCTCACTGGTACTTGTTGATCACAACAAGATGACTGATCAAGTGGCTGCACTCTTTGAGGGCCGAGTAACACAAGTTTTAGATCACCACGCTGGTGGTGTATCATATCCAAAGGCCCAGAGCATCATTGATGAGAGCTTGGGATCCTGCTGCTCCTTGGTGGTAGAGCAGTTCATGCAGACAAAGGGTTCCAATCTTACAAAAGAGTTGGGCACCTTAATGGCTGGTGCTATTTTACTCGACTGTCGAAACTTTGATCCAGCTGCCAAGAAGGGCACGAGCCGTGACCAAGCTGCGCTAAGACACTTGGAGTCTGTCGACGTGCCTTCCAAAGACCCAACTCGGTGGTACAAGGAACTCATGGACGCTCGCAAGGACGTGTCTCATTTGACCGTGCGAGATTTGATGCTGCTGGATACGAAGGTCGTAACCCTCCGTGGTATGAACGTTGCTGTTGCCAGCATTTTCGGTACCATTACAGAGGTTTGCGCCAGGGCTGGGACATCCGCTCACGTGGCAGAAATTGCAAAGACCCTAGCTGCAGAACGAGGGTATAGTGCAATCATTCTACTTTTCAGCAAAGACAAGTTGATGGGCAAGCGAAGAGCTTTGGCATTTGTACCGCTGGACTCCCCTTCGTCCGAGTTGTGCGAAGACATTGCAAAGCAGATGTCTGAGACTCCTGGGAATTTACCCCAAGATCTGCGAGAAAATCCCTTGTACCAAACACAGGGGCTGGTGGAGACTGGCTTTGAGCTTCAACCCATCAAAGAGCTAGAACCACTAAATGTGTACAGTCTCAAGGGCGATGTGTCAAGAAAGACGGTGCTGCCTTTCGCCACGATGGCTGCCCTGGCTGCTGCTGAGCGATCTGCACAGCCCTTTTGAGTCGTTGAGTCTGTTGCGGTCCGATCCTTTCAAGGACCGGATCCAGATTTCGACGTCAAAAATGAAGCTGGAGGGGCAATTGGGTAGTAGATGGTAACAGCATGTAACAGCAACATCTGAGAGTACTTGACTCCATACTGCACGCCTGGAACGAAGGGTAGATAGTCCAGTACCGGTATGGGGAGACTTCAATTTCAACTCTTCACTTTTTTTGAATGTTCCAACAAGCATAATCTGAGGTGTTTATGTCATGAT